ATTCCGTAAGTAGTAGAATGTCCTGTAAAAAAAGTAGATACGTTTTTTATACTGAAAGATATGTTTTATATACGTTTAGATACGTCTAGATACGTTTTAAGATACGGAAAAATGCACAATTCCGTTTGTAGAATTTTTAATATTCCATTTAAGGTATTTAATTTTTTAATGGCCCAATCTAAAATCTTTATTTAATAAAGTTCATTTTTAAAAATCTAATTTTAATGAGAAATTTTTTTATTAACTATGAATATAGATTTTTGTTTGAGAAAACTAATGTGAGAGTAATTGATGCATTCAGAAAAATTTACAAACCAGCTGGAACACGCTTCTGGTTCCGCGTCACGTTTATATTTTCCCCACGCTTCTGGTTCTGCGTAGGGATTGGAATCGATTCCCATTATTAGAATCGATTCTAAAATCGATTAATCGCGATTAATCGTTTCGCAAATACCGATTTTTTTTTATACTATTATAATAGGTGTGTTTAAACACATATCACGTGATTACAAAATACAGTGATCGACGAACAAATTTCCTTTTTTGGAAATTTGTACAACCTTGTGCGATAGCAACTTGAATTTTATTGGGAGATAAAATTTCCTTTTAGGAAGTTTGTGTTCCGTCACGTGATTCGCGGGCGGAATTATGAATTTGGCCAAATTAACTATTATGAACAAATAATAATTTACGGTCAAATTAAACGAAACTGCGCCACAATAAGTAGATTCGATAGTAAAGACAAAAATCAACAATAAGTGTTTTAATTGCATGATTCAGATAATATATTTTTTTCGTGATATGTATAACTATTAATTCGTTGTTTGTTTAATTTTGTTTGAAGAAATTTTTATTGTCTCAAGGTGGTTTATATTAAGAAAATTTTTTCTATAATAACAAATATTTCATGATTACATTTTTTATATTTGTACAAGAGTATTTTTGCCACGATTTTTTACATTGCGCCCATTGCGCCACAATCGGAACGAACGGTGCCACTTTGAATTAATAATGTGGAAATAGATGATTTCTAAATATCGTGTGTATGATTGTAAATATGCCACATTTTTACATAATGGATTATGTTTTAGCATAATTGGCATCATACTATTATCTTTACCATCTGTTTTCATTCACAGTGGAAATGGCTCGGACAATCACATTATCACGTGATTTGTCAAACATATATCGATCCTATTAAAAATATTAAATCGCGTGATGCAATTTTTTTTGCTATTATTATACACATATATAATATACGGTAATATAACTTTCCTTTATTTTAAAATAAACGGGATAAATTAATAAAATTTTGGAATACACAATATTGTTTAATATGATTTAAATGATTGAAAAAGACAGATGATGAATCTTTATCATTTAAGTCATTTTCCGAACACTGCTTCAGACATTACTAAAAATATTGAATATAAAAATTGAGAATAACGAAAAATTTTTAAAAATTTCATTTAATAATATAGTAGCATACGAGATTCTAAGTATAGTATACAATATAAAGAATTTTTTTTTTGAGATTTCAGATGACAATAAACTCGTCTATCTATTTTAACACGAACTTGAATATCAGAATTCAGAAATATTGTTGAAACGAATTCATATTTTTTTCCTAAATTTATTTTTTTTTTTACTTGTAAAATTTCATTATTATTTTCTAGAATTTTGAAGAAAAAAGAGTTAATATTACTTTATTCATCTCCTAGATAAGGTTTTTATTAAATGATAATATTAAATCTCCATCAGACAATAACTGAAAAATTGAAATGCTTTTGTTGTTGTCGACGTTAAGTGTTATGGTGGTGTTGCATTGTGATTTAACGTTATGAGTATTTATCGTGGTTAATTTTAATGTTAGCAAATTTGTAGAGATCATTCACAGTTTGAAAATTTCGTTTCAAGGCTTCTAAAGACGAAGCGAACCAACTTGTATCATCTAAATATCCAACTAGAGTCGTATTAAAAGGAATAGGGGTGTTTTATTCTTCGTTGTATATATTGTTGTATTTTTTGATAGAAATATTAAGATGTTGTGATGAACATCGGGTCATACGTATAGTATATAATCCATAGAATCGGACTTATGACTTCGCATCGATTCCTTGTAGTATAATGTACACTATATGGATTAAACGCATCAAATTTTTTATTTTTAATATAACGACAGAACAGAAGTTAAACGCGTGTCAAATGGTGATCTCATAAGATCGATATATGTTATGTTTAACAAATCACAAGATGATGTGACTAAACATTGTGGCTAAGAAGTGATGTAATTTAAAATTAAAACATAATCATCTTTACAAATTTGATACCATACAACTATACACACGATTTTTTTTCAAAAAAAAATTCATATATTTCCACATTATTAATTCAAAGTGTTCCGATTTTGATGCTATAAATAAAACGTCGCTTTTACTTCGCCTCGTTAACAAAACAACAATTTTACGATGTTTGCGGTTCAAAATAATTATTGATATCAAAATCTCGCATTCTCACATTATTAATTAAAATGGCTTTGCTCTTGAATTGTAAATTTTAGCATGACGCAATATAGAAAAACGTGGCAAAAATACTCTTGCGAGCCTTTCATTCAAACAATTAACACATATTGATATGGGCGGACTAAAATTACCGTCAAAATAATCGACATTCCGATCATCAAGTGAACTAAGTGAGCTCTTATACAAACACTTTGAGAAAGAGGAGAGAAATTTCTACAAATTAAAATTAATCAATCATGCAATTTAAATACTTATTATACTTATTATTTATTGATTTTTGTCTTTACTATTGCTTCAGCGGGTACTAATAAACAATTTCTTTAAAATTTTTTTCTTTTTCTTTTTTTGTTAATTTTAATATTAATTATTATAGCATCTTTTAAGAAAGCTTTTGGAGAGATCGATAAACGTGACGTAAACACAGAATTAAACGTGACGCAGACCCAACCGTTTTCCAACAAATAACGTATAATCATATTTCTTAGTTTTAGAAAAGCTTAATTTTTAAAGTCCAAAATGTTAAATGTTTCATATACTGACGTAGATCAATTTATATAATAAAACAAGTAAACAAGTAAACATTAAAAAATGAGCTTTAAATATTAACGAATAGTAAAACTTTATTATGATTAGAAGTTTTGAAATGAAAAATTATTAACAAATGAAAATATTCTTGTTATTCATTAAAAATATATTAATTTTGTGAAAAAATTTGTCAAATATAATAAATTCAAATCATTCAAAAAAAAAAAAAAAAATTCCTTTCATAACTGTTGTTTATTTCTAATGAAAAAAAGATCTAGGATGATTATGACCTTTGATAAAGAAAAAAGATTTTAGATAATTATTTATTATTAAAAAAACATTAGGCTTGCAAAATCCAATTTTATGCGGATGACGCCGGCCTACATTATCGGCTCATTAAACTTATACATCACAACATTACAACTTAAATTATTGGGATTTTCAGGCTGGACACTATCGATTTTGCAACGAAGTATGGACTTTCATCTGGGAAATCCTTTTAATAATATATTTGTAAAATGATGATAATTATTGAAAAAAATAAAAAAATATTATTCCAATTGATATCAACAAATTAGATGTTTATTTTTTCTTTAACTAATTTTGATATAGTAAAAAAAAAAAGGGAATTCCTGAGCTAGACCAATCTCAACAAATGTATAAATTATTATCTATTATTAAAATTTACCTTTATAATAATAACCATCTTCAGTATAAAAGTTATTTAATCTTTGAACATCTTAAGAGAATTAAGAGCGGTTTACATTTATGGGAACAATTTAGTAAGTAGTACATGTTCATAAATGAAAAAAGTCTTCATCTTGAAGATTTAACCGATGTAAATAATATATTTTGCATATTTAAGAATTTTAACCTTTTAAAATATAAAACGTAAAAGTTATTTTCAAAAGTCAATTTTGACAATATACATTATAAAATTTATTAACAGTTAATGATTAATGATATTATAGCCGTTTGCAAAAAGGTGTAGTCAGTGGTTTTTATTACATGTAAGTATAAAGGAAATCGGGAAATCAAAAAATTAAACTTTATAAGCCAAAATAAAATCAAACTCAAATTTCTTAAATTATATCCAAAAATAATAGCTGATACACAATATACTAAACTTAAGTAAACAAGGAACCTGCTTTGGGTGCCGAATGTGTTTATACTGTGGAATTGACTTACAACAAAAAAAATGTAAATGTATAATAACCAAGCCACCAAATCATGTCGAAGATATATTATACGTTGTTTTAAATCCTCACTATAAACTGGAGGCATACTAAATAATTTGTTTATAAAAGCCGTTAAATTTCATTTAAAATGATCGAAAATCTTTAATATTATGAAGTTTATTCAATGATAAGTTTGAAAAAAGAGGGAAATCTGGGAAATCTTGTGAATTTCCCATGATATTATGATCGACGCCTAACTACACAATTTTGCAAACGGCTATAAAACGAATTCTTTTAATAATATTTTAATTCATTATTGAATCACAATACGATAAACGTGGCGCAGATCCTCCGTTTTGAGAGGTCAATATGATCATTTAAGATTTACCATTTGATTTCAATAAGATCAGATGTACAAATATTTCTGATTTTTATTCGGATATACTCCGTTTCACCCGTTTACCAATTAAATTTTTTGGATTACATTAGTTAGTGAAAGGCTTTATTAACAGCTTAGTACTATGACATATAATAAAAAAAAAGAATGAAATAAATCCTAAGATTAATTCGGAAATGACGACTTTAAACCAGTAGGAGTACGTGTAATATTCAGGAATTTATTCAATGATTTCCAATTATTTTATTGCTGAAGATAGTTTAAAGCGAGAAAACCAAATTTAAATATAAGTAACTTGCTTAAATTAATTGTATTATTTTTGTTACGTTAGCCATGTACTAATAACCTAATCATGATACTTACCAATAAAAACGATGTTTAACGGAAAGAAGACCCAAAAAACAACTGAACCGCGAATGGATCATTCGTAATTTGCAAAGGTAATCGACTTAATGTATTTATATTAAACGCATTTCTATATTTTCTATTAACGATTCTACGTCTTCGTCGTTTATGAATAGCACGATTGAAATTATCAGAAGGAACATGATACTTTAACGTCATCTTAAATAATAAATAAAAGTTGAAGCGAAAGTTATAAAGATGAAAGAACGAAAGAAAAATTTATTAGTTATATATATTGATATTCGTGTAACACTGTAATATTAATTTCAAAAAATATATAAATAAATTCTTCGGAAGAAATTTCTCGTGCATATTTTTATAGTCAGTATTCTATACTAATTAAATATTGTTCAGTATAGTCTCTTTTCTTGGCAAAATAAAAGGAGCCAAATCACAAGTCTAAAAAGTGAGTTTTATTTCTAGGAATAGTGCATATGAAATCTCTTTGTATTGGATAATTTTTTTTTTTTTTACTGCAAAAGATATTACGATATTTGTATTTTTTAAGTTATCAAATATAAAACATATCATTCACATGTATACAAAAGTTTTATTGCTTTAAAAAAAAATGTAGAGATTGATAGAATTTCTAAAAAAAAAAGATCCTTTGATCTCTTGATTTTGTAAATATTTGTCCAAATATTTGATCATTGTTTTTTTGTATTAACCAAAATGAGCAAAGCTCTGCATATCCGCACATTCGTTTAAAAAAAAATAATTTCATTCAAGGTAATATACTGACTGTATCTAATTTCATATGTTCAGAATTTAATTAGAATTATTTAATTAAATCTTTATTATTATTTATTATTTAACTATAAAAGTCTTTATGGAATTGATGAAATACGCATGATCGTATAATCCGTGATAGAATCTCGACAGACCATTGTATTCAACGACCCTATAGTATTAGCTATTGCATTTTTTTTTTTCGTTAACTAAACTAATAAAGGACTACGTGTATAAATAATATATTAATTGGATGTATTATTTGCGTTCTCTATTCTTATTACACAAAAAAGAAATCATGTTCAAAGAAAGTCTCATTAGGAATTTCGGAGTCACGAAAAATATTCCTTTTTTATTAAAAAACTTTTTACTTTCATCGCCTCTATATTTGGATATATAAAAAACATTTCGTCATTAAAAAAGGGGGATTTTATAACTACAAAGTGAACATTGTACTAGCAGTGAAGTTTTTCATTATTACCTGTGATAATGATGAATTTATTTGTGATTATAAAGACTGATTTTGGCAATACAAATGTAAGGTGTTTTATTTAAAAAACTAGACCTATATTAGTGTATTTTTTTTTTTTTTTTTTTTTTTTGAGACGTTTAACCAATGTAAATACGACATATAAATCATGATCTACGTTAAACGTTAAAAAATGAATAGGCGTTTTTTGTGTTACCTTGAGCGCGATGAGGAAAACCTCGTTGTTTCCTATTAAAATGAAAGAAAAAGGAATTATATACAATAATTATAATCATATATAATGAAAAGTAATGGAACTCCCTTTCTTATAGAATTACATTCAGAATCACATTCAAAAAAATTTTGACGGCATATGATAATTTATTTTCCGAAAGTAGTAGCAGTAGTGAATGATTTTAGTTTCGACTTATAAAAAAAAAAATAAGATAAAAAATAAAAAATAAACATACTTGTGTTTGTTCTTTATTATAGTTTACTTTACTAAACTGAGATGGGTCGAAAACATCCCAAGGGAAAAGATCTGCTAATTGTTTATCAAGAAATGATGGAGTCATACAGATGATGATGTAGAATTGTAAATAAACAAGTATCTGAAATATGGCAAGATCTACCTGAAGATCAAAAATCGAGTGGAAGAGAGCTCAATCGAGAGTCAGTAAACGAACCATAATCATTATCATTATGGATGAATATTTTGAATTTTAATCGAGAGATTCAGAAAACTAACTATAATCACGGATGAATGTTTTAGATTTTAATAGAATGAAAATTATCTTTTTGTTTTGGTTTAAAATATTTAAGTTTATTAATAAGTATGTTTTTTATTATGCATGTGTATAAAAAAGAATAATTTTATAACTGCTTATTAACCATAAGTAGTATATTTCATATGAACATTATGTATGATTAAATATGAGTTAACGGTTAACAAACACAAAATGGTTTATTAAAATAGTCGTCTATCGGTCGATAATTTATCCGATCCGTGAAATTTTACTTATTCCTAATTAGCCAGGATGTGCAGGGTTATATCACATGATAAAATTCTCTGGATAAACTCCATTCACTCATGCAAAAATTACCTTCTTGATCTTCCTCGCATTACTTTCTTGACCTGGTCAAAATATGCATGATTATGTATGAAAAACATATTCTTTTCTTGACTCGAAACGCGATAACTGATAGTGTGACAAACAAAAAAAGAATATTTAATAAAAATAATGATAACTTGTTAAAAACTTTGTTCTACTTACTACAGTATTAGTATTTATTCGGGCCGTACAAAATTTGTCCGAATTAAATATATATCAAATGATCATATAGTGTAGGCCCGAGTTAGTCAATTTATAGAAGGTATATATCTAATAAAGACGTTGACCCAATGATCCAAAAACTTTGTAACTTTCCACACATATTTCCTTTTGAACGTGCTAATATTGCATTGAAGATATCTGAAATGCTGCTGCTGTTATAAATTTATAATATTATAGCAATATTCAACAAAATAAACCATTTAATGTATAATAGTTATTGTGTAGGGGGGTTGAAATATCACCGAACTGCGAAGCAGTTCTGATGATATTTTAACCCCAACCTAATAACTGTGTTATTATGCAGACGTCCAAGATCATGTTCCATATGAAAAGCATAGTAAATGTGTGATAATAATCTATATGACGTAATGCGTCAAAAATATCAAAGATATTTACGCAATAATAGTTTATCTAAAAAATATCAGTATGTTAAAAACAACATGATCCTATTTGGCTGCATAATAAAACCACTTATTAAATAATAATAACGAATTAAATAAGATTTGCTGTTAAACAGTATGTCACTCAAAATTGAGATTAAAAGGCTTTATTAATAGTCTAATACTATAACATACAATAAGAATGAAATAAATCTTAATTTTTAATTTCGGGAAATGGCGGCTTTAAACTAGTGGGAGTACGTGTAATATTCAAGAATTTATTCAATGACTTCCAATTATTTTATTGCTGAAGATACTAGTTTAAAGCGAGAAAAACCATTGGTTTACTATGAAAGAAACTTAATAAGTAACTTGCTTAAAATTATTTGTATTTATTTTTGTTACATTGGCCATAATATCCATAATATACTAAAAATAACCAACCATACTCACGGAAAGGAGACCCAAAAAACAATTGAACTGCGAATGGATCATTTGTAATTTGTAAAGGTAGTCGACTTAGTATATCAACATTAAACGCATTTCTATATTTTTATTACCGATTCTACGTCTTCGTCGTTTATGAATAATATTGAAATTAATAGAAGTAACGTAATTTAAATTCCTAGAGCTCTTTAACGTCATCTTTAATGAATATAAAGGTTGATGTGAATGTTAATAAGAATGAAAGAACGAAAGAAAAATTTATTAACCATCATATTTATATTGATATTCGTGTAACAAAATGTAAAGCAATGGAATAGAATTGTTACACGAAACTCATATTTTTTTAGTATAATAGTTAAAGCGATATTAAGGTTGATACCTTTTTCTTTTAAATATTCTTACTTTTAACGATTAATTATTATTTTGATTATTAAAACAAAGCCTCCACTTAATTATTGTATTCGCTTATATAAGAAGAATGAACCATGTGAAATAAAAAACAAGATTATTAAATTGTCTGATACCCGGAGAAAATATCATCATTATCATTATTTACCTGAGGATTTAAATAATTTTAAACGACAGATAACTTTAAAATATAATATTTTGTTTTTGTATTTGTAAGATGAAAGAAATAGTCATCTCTTTATATTGATAATTGCACACATTGATGAATATTCATCGAACGCTGTGAGCGAATCAAATTTGTTTATTTTGTTTTAATAAAGCAAATATTATGGTCACGATGATTATTTAATGCACTAATGCATTTTTTAAATTTAACCAAGATCTGCAGAATAATTTTATTTGCTTCGGTTTATAAAAAATAATTTCATTCAAGATAATATACTATACTGTATCTAAATTCATATGTTCGGAATTTAATTAGAAATTATCTAATTAAAACTTCATCAGGAGAATAAAATAAGCGTAGATCTACAAAATAATACACGTGTGAAAAACTACGCAAATCTACACCTCTCGCGACGATATACGAGTGTGAAAAATTTAGAGGAATTTTCAATAGTATAAAATGGTGTATTTTTAAAAATGACGTAGTTTTTTTAATAGTAAAAAATAATGTAATAAAAATTTTCTTTTAATTTTTTCACATTTTATATTTATTTTATATTTATTATTTTTTTTTTACTCAATGAATATATACATTTTATTATTTTTTACTTACAAACTGAATACTTCATAATTAATTACGTTTTATTTATTTATTTTTTTTTACTTACACTAAGAATCGAACCGAATACCTCAAGATGAACTATTAATATATTAAGTCTCATTATCCGACCACTACACTATTTGTTCTTTTTTTTTAATTATTAATATTATATTTCATATTTATCTTAGAATAAAAATGTATTTATATAATTTTTTTTAGTGTAAATATTTAAAATAAAACAAAACTTCATTTGCTAATTTTCCTCGACTCAGTGTTTGTTAAAAATATTTTTAATTGTTTATATCATATATTATTAGAAATATTTTTTTAGCGTATATATCTAATATCTATTTGTGTAAATTTTAATCAACTTTTTTAAATAAAAATTTTTCAAAATATTTTATGTTACAGTTTCGCGTGGGTTATGCAAAATCATGTATTTATGCAAATTTCGAAAGTGTAGATTGCTGAAACTACCTACTTATGTAGAATTTATGAAACTTTTTAAGATACAAAATCAACGAAATATTTATTTAAATTGTTTTTTTGTGTAGATTACTTAAACCACATGTTTAAGAAGTTATTTCAAGATATAAAACTTCAAAACTACCTATTCACGAAAATTTTATGACATTTTTTAAGATACGCCTTATTAAATAACTATGTTTTAAGTGTAAATTATGCAAAATTGTATATTTATAGATTTTTACGGAGTATAAATTTCCAGGGATTATACATATTTGACAACTCTACGCTAATATTCGCCTCATATAATCTCCTGATGTTTATTATTATTTTTTTTTAACTATAAAAGTCTTTATAGAATTGATGAATACATGAAGTACGTAATTCACATGTCAGATCATTTTCGCGGATACTACAGTATACAATCCCGTAATAGAATAAGCAGCCTTTTGCCCAGTGCAATTGGTTACTTTTCGCTAACTTTATTATGTAATTGGATGAACAATTTCATCATATGTAACGTACTCAATATGTCGGATATTAACGAGCGTAACAATAAAAACAATTGATAATATTATTTATATTGTTTGGCGTTCTTTATCTTTTATTACACGAAAAAAAAAGGTAAGAATTTCCGTGACGCCTGTTTTTATCCAGCTTATAATAATGCAACTTTTGTCTTTTGAGCATGAAATTTCTTTTTTTTTCCGCCAAAACTCTTTCCTTTCATCACCACTATATTTAGTTACATATATGTTACTTCTGTTAAATGAAAAGATTTTATAGGCAAATAATAAACGAGTATCTACATAATTAAACTAATATGGCGTATTGTATGTTAGTTACCCTTGAGCGACGAAGGAAACCTTGTTGTTTTCTACTAATATGAAAGAGAAAGAATTATATTAAGTAAGTATAATCGTATGTAATGAAAGCGATGTAAATTACCCTTTTTATAGAGTTACATTTAGAACCACGTACGAGAATTCGACGGCATATAATAATCATACTCCGCAAGAAAGTTATATAAATGAATGCTTCCTGGGCTTCAGATTAATAAAATAAAAAACAAATAATTAAAGTCTACTTCTCACATTTGTTTTTTAAATTGATTATTATAATCTTCTTTGCTAAAAAAAACCATGATCAATAATCTATACGTGGTCCATCATTCCTTTCTTTCTCCAAAGAAATCAACGTCCAAAAGGAAGGAAAGATCTGCTAACTGTTTCCTTCTATTTCGTCAAAAAATGATGAAAGAAAGGCCATACAAGATGAAGATGTCAAATTACAGTAAACGAGTATCTGAAATGTGGCAAAATTTATCTGAAGACGAAAAAATTGAATGGAAGAGATGATACGAGCTCAATCGAAAGTTAGTGGAGTTATTAATAAACTTAAATATTTTTAAACTAAAACAAAAAAAAAATGATTTTTATCTATTAAAATCCAAAACATCCATTCGTGATTATAATTGGTTTTCTGAATCTCTCGATTAAAATTCAATAAATTATGGTTCGTTCACTGAGTATGTTTTTAATTATGCATGTATATAAAAAAAGAATAATTTTATAGCTACTTATTAACTAAAATATATTTCATATGATTATGTATGTAACACAACAGTATGTAATTTTAACAAGATTTGTAATTAAACTAATTCATTAAGTAATATGTACAAGTATCAGTTGTTTAATAAAGTACGTCACTTTTTTCGTTTGAAGTCGGTAATATTAGACAGGTATGTCACCCTGCAAATTAATGATTATTAAACA